GATAGCCGTTGTGCGACCGATTCATAACCTCTTCATTTAAATCCATACGACGCCCCACCAAAAAAGTTTCTAAAGCCGAAACATTTCCTTCAAAGTACCAGCATGAAATCATCTGTCAAGGAATTCAATGAACTTGATTTAAAATGGCTGGGAGTTCCTGGCATTCGATAGTCTGTAAATTCAATACTCGATACTTGCGATATGCGTATCTCGCCGGAGTAGCTTCATAAAACATTAATTTAAATTCTGTTAAACTTCTCGTTGCAATATGGAAAGGGAATATGGAAAATCCAATAATGATCGGGATTCCTGGCCAATAGCCCCGTGCGGTAGTCCCTTCCCAGACGGACCTCGACCCGGCGCAACTCTTTTGCAAAAGTGCAGGAGTGCAGCTGGTGGCAGGGCAGGGCAGGGCAGGACTGGCATCAAGTATGCAACGCATACACCTGCACACTCGCCATGCATGAGAGGACATATGGGGCATGCCACCCACCCACAAGCCTGGCTGCCTGCCATACCTTTTGCCTGTACCTTTACCTTTACCTTTACCGTTACTCCTGGCCAAATAAGTGAGTTAAGCAGCGCTCACGGCGCATAGCGGAGAGCGAGAGAGAGAGAGAGAGGAGCAACAGCAGGGAAGAAGCTGCTCTTTTTTTCTGTTCTTTAATTTGAAAAAATTGTCAAGCATCAAAATACTTTTAGAGCTTTCTGCCACAGCCCAGCCAAAGGCGTAGCAAAAAAAGGGGGAAACCCAGGCCCCAGCCCCGGCCCAAAGAAGTTACTGGCTGATGGTCGGAAATCTGAAGCCAGGAAAACCGCGTGCTGTGCGTGCAAATAAATCAAATAAATTATGAAAGTAGAAAAAAGAAAACCAAGCAAGCAAGCAGGTAAAAGTGTGAGAAATGGTCCTTGGATCTGCTCTGTTTCTTGGCCTATTCATATGCTTATGTTGTTTTTCCTCCATAAGCAGAAAAAAAACATAAAAAAGGATAGCTCTGTAGGTAGACGAAGATTTTGATGCCCTGCGATTTCTGTGGAACAAAAGTCTACATTTTCTGATGAATATTGTGTGGATCGATGGTTGCCAGGCCAGCTTTATGATATGGAGTACATAATTCCTATTGAGCACCTTATCGGCTTATAACCGATTCGTATTTGTGCGATAATCGATTCCAAAATTATTACAAATAGATTAAAAACCTTTTCATAATCGTTTAATTAAAGAATGATCCATAATCGATCCATAACCGATCCACAACCGATTCCTAACCCGATCCATAACCCGATACATAACAGATCCATAACCAATCCATAAACGATCCATAAACGATCCAGAACCGATCCAAAAACGATCCACAACCGATCCACAATCGATCCACAACCGATCCAGAACCGATCCACAACCGATCCACAACCGATCCATAAATGATCCATAACTGATCCATAACCGATCCAGAACCGGTCCAGAACCGATCTATAAACGATCTTTAACCGATTCATAAGCGATCCATAACCGATCCAGTTGCGATCCATAACCGATTGATAAGCGATTCATTCCTATTCAACACAGACTGAAATGAGATTTAACCGATCCATAACCGATTCCTAATCTACTCAATACGATTAGAACAAAATCCTAACCGCTTCATAGCTTTTTAAACACCGTTTCATAACCAAATCAACACGGATTGAAAACCGATCAGTAACCGATATTCAGAAACCAAATATTTCATTTATTTCAACCAAAAAAACTTCTTTTCGATAGATATAGTGATCCAATCTGATCGGTTTCAATTTACAGATTTTAAGGGAATAAAATTCAGGTCCAAAACCCAAGAAAAACATACTGAAGTCCCTCCTGCAGCATACCCTCTGAAAGGGTATTAAAAAGAGCAGTGTCAAGGAGGCAGCAGCGTTGCAGCTTAACTTGCTTACACATCAGCAGAAGAAAGAAGCAGACAGGGGCAAGAGCAGGAGGAGGCAACACCAGAGGAGGTACAGCAGAAGGAGGCAGTGGCAACAGCAGCAGCCATCGAGGTGGTAGCAACCAAAAAAAGAAAAATGGTAAAAAAAGGAGTAACATCGGTGGCATAAAAAGTAGCACCAACAACATCATAATCAACAGCACAAAAAAAATATTAATGGAGTTTTCATGTTTATAATGTCATTAGCTCACAAATGCTGCCGCTGCTGCTGCTGCTGCTGCTGCTGGATGTTGCTGTTGCACATGTGCCGTGATTCGCTTGCCACACATATTTTGTGTGATTTTTTCACAGCTTCCACTCCACTCCGCACACACGGAGACAGCCATAAACATGCGGCACACACACACAGAGACACACAGAGACACATAGACACCACATCTATAAATGTGTGAACACTAATGTGCACATTATGTTTGTGGGGCCATTATCCTTGGAGCACACGGAGTGGAGCGTCTAGGAGTCTGGGGCATACAAGTGGCAGGGCGTACTGCCCACCAGACCATGCCACACAATAAGTTAGTTGTAATATGATGGGGGTCGGGGGCGAAACCCTTTAACTCATTTGTTTTGCTTAGCAAAAACAGGAAGCAAAAAAAAACAAGAGTGTTGAGGGTTGCAATAGGGTTAAGCAGGGCCGGGGTGGGGTTAAAACAAGAGACGTGTGAAAGAACGTCCGCCCGCAGTCTGTCTCGCTTTAGACCCACAAGGGGGTACCCCTGTGTGTGTGTGTGTGTGTTTATTAATTTTATAAATAGTCAAAAACTTAATGACTTAACACTTATTTTAGATATATTTTCTGTATCGTAGAAACTGTAGACAAGACATTTTCATTGACTTTCCATCTTTCTTGGGACAATTTCTCAATTTTTGTGCTAATTCATGAGCAGACCCTCCTCCCCCCCTCCCTCTTTTCTAGGACATTTTTTCTATTTTATAATGATAACATTTTCATGTTTCAAACAGGCTGTAGTGACGTCCCACATGAGTCCCTTAGGAGGCAACACACACCCATTTTTTATGAAGTCTTTTAATGGGGTGGTGTCATTAATTTTCACAAATTTTCCTTGCGGGAAAAACTACTACAGGCAGAGATTTTTGTTTTTGTCAATTAACATTTTTCGCTGGAAAATGCATTATTAAAAAGAGGGAGCCAAGCCGAGCCGAGTCGAGGCCCTTCAATCAGCCCAAGCCCAAGCCCAAGCCCGAGCCTGAGCCTGAGACGGAAACGGAAGTGAATTTCAAGTTTTCCTTGGGGGGTGGAGGGGGAGGGGGAGGGGCAGTGCAACCGTTTACATCCGCGCTTAGTTCGCCTTTTGTTTGCTGGCGTCCAAGAAAGTTGTCGCATTTTCATTTATTCATGCCTCCGCCTTGACCAGGCCGTGTCCCTGCCATTTGTTGCGTTTTTCTTTTCTGTTTCCCTTCAGCCGGGTCTCCCTGGGCGAGTGAGAGGGGGGAGAGGCTCTGTGTCCTGTGCTAAATGTAATTTTCCGTTGTTAAATCCTGTTTCTCTCGCGCGCACGGAAGTCAACTCGAGGGGAAAACCAAACAAAACAGAGTACAGAAAAATAAGGAGAAGAAAACTCCCAAGGAGTGAAAATAAATTACTTGCCTGGCACTCGGCATCAGCATCAGCATCAGGCCTCCTCCCAGGGCGCAGGACTCTGCTCCTTCAAATGCAGATTGCATCTATTGCCGCATGTCCTTGTTGTTAACAAATTAAATCTATAAACGCGGGGGTGGCCAATGCTGCAACGGTGGCAACAATTAGGCGGAACGATGATGGCGTGTGCGGAAGTCGGAGTCAAGTTTCGTCCTGTCAGCGGAAATGCCATCAAAAGCGTGGGGACACACTGCATAAGCTATTGGCCTGGCCAAGGACTGCGAGGATTGGGGGAAAGGAGAAGCATTCCCTTAAAAACAAAATATAATAAATAAATAAAATACCAAAAAAAAAATATTAAAAATTTAATGGAAGGATGGATAATGGATAATCATTCCAATGGACGATTTCTGCTAACAATAAAACGATAAAACAAGTAAAAAAATTAATAAATAAACAAGATTTAAAAAAAAAATAAAATTAAAATAAAAAGATATAAATAATTTTTTTTCTCTTGCAGTTTGCCATTAATATACAAATTATTATTATATATATATATACATACATATATATACATGTATATATATATATTTATATATTAAATCAAATTATGATTAAATTTTTTAATACATTATATTTATTTATATTTTATATATTAAGATTAATTATGAGCAGTAGCAAACGCTTATAAAACGGCGATTTAATTTAACTCAAAAAAGAAATAAATAAAAAATAAAATGGATAAAAGAAGAAAGCAAAAGAAATACAATTTTTTTCAAACTTTTCTGAGATTTTATAGTAAAAATTTTGAAACAAAAAATATACCGCAAAAAAATGGTCAATTTGGAATTAAATTTGTATTAAATAAATAATTTAAGAAAAAGGTGATTTGTTTTCAAGTTTTTAAAGTCAACATAAAAAATGAAAACATTTTTTATATACCGCAAAAAAAATATCAATTTGGAATTAGAAAGCTTAATACTTTTCAGTCTGCAATTTTCAGAATACAACCAATGTAACTTATGTAAAAAAATGGGCACTACCTCTGAAAAAATATTTAAAAACAAAATACCAGTTTTTAAAATTATTTTAAGAATGTTTTAAGAAGAAACCTTACCACAGAAAAAAAAAAACCATAATTCATTAAAAAAAATAAAAAGCCCCAAATCGATCAAAAAAAATTTTAAAATAGTTCAATTTTGTTGCCTAGTGTAATCTGTCCCATCTCTGTGGGTGTGTGTGCCTGATGTCTGACCATGTAGCATCCTCCTCCCCTTGGAACTCTTCTCAGAACTCTTACACTTGGCGGTGTCGTGGTGGGGCAATTACCCTCAACCTTCAATGCTCCAGGAATTTTCCAGTATTTTCATGGAATTTCGTACAGATAGCAAGCCTAGAAGCGGCATTCACTAGATACAATTTCCACCTCAGGAACACACACCTGAAACACACAATTCCCAAGGATGCTGCTGATTCGAGCTATCGTTCTGGTAAGTGCAGGAGGACACGATCATTCGAGGGAAAAACTCAACTAAGCCACGCTCTACCCCAGATGCATTTGGTCATCTTGGCCCGATGCTCATCCAAACAGAACGTAACACTGGCACAGATTGTATCTGGATCTGCCACCAAGCAACAGGCCAATGCAACAGCAACTGTGGAAGTCCCGACAACAGCGATGGGGACGACAGCATCCGCTGTGCACTTCAGGCGCGTCCCAAGAAAGGTTGTTGATATCCCAGTGATTGGATTGGACTTTGAGACGTCGCACAAGCCTTGTGATATGGAAATGAGAGGAATTCGTCGCTACATTTCGGCATTCCCCAATCAATGCATCTGGAGTTTCAACAATCGGTACACCACCGAGGGCTACTATCGCGTCTACAAGATGTTCCAATTGGAGGCATTCTTCTTTGGTCAGTACCACGAGCGTCTAAAGCGCTACGAGACGGAGCCACATAACTATAAAGAGGCATGAGGCACCACTCGACTGGCTGACTGTTTAACAGAACTTTTGTCTTTAATTTGTCTAAATAAATTTTGTTTGAGGATTAATCTATTTGGATGTGTGTAACCAACAGAAGGAAGCGTTTCCCATACCAAAAACTATGTATATTCTTGATCAGCATCGATAGCCGAGTCGATTTAGCCAAGTCTGTCTGTCCATCCGTCCGATTGGACGCACTTTTACAAGGGTTTGACCCCTTGCGCCCCCAACAAAGCACGAAAATCTTTGGCAAACACAAGATACAAGAAAACTAGAAACGCAGAACCATAGACAAGGACTATATCTAACATATTGCCGAATTTGAATCAGATCGGGCTATTATTATAGCCTGAAGAAGCAAATCAATTTGCGCTGGCCACGTGCTTGCTCATTTGCTGTCTCTCTCTCTCTCTCTCTCACGCACTCTTCGTCGTGCAATGTTAAGCTCGGGCATAAATATTGAGTCACGGCTGTAGTTCTCCCATTGCTGTGAAGGTGTTAGCGAGAGGGAGACGCACCGCTCAGGCAGGACCAAAAGGGACAAGAAAGAGAGAGCACGCATGGATCGTGATCCTCTCTGCGGCAATGTTTTGTAGTTTAGAAAGAGAAAGAGCGACAAGGTTATTGTGTCCTCGAAGGATAGTTTGGCAAGGCGCTGAGTTATTGGTGGAATCCGAATAGGACACTCGCCTATGTATAGTCTATGCCCTCTGAGAATCAAGTTTTCATTTAAATGTCAAAATATAGCTATAATTAGCATAATTTTTAATTAGTATATAATTAGATACATATGCGCCTTCATCACTCGTTGTTCAGTCAGTATATATTGTTGTAGCTACATAGGAAATTAACCATGAATCCAAAATTGTACTTCATTGCCTTGACGGTCATAGCGGAGCTTTTTCTTATGGTACGTCCAAGAGAAAACGCTCTCAAATGATCCCCCTACTCATTAAATTTCTATAGCAGTTGCCTTTGGGGGAAGCCAGGAGTGTCTCTAGTGCTGCAATGCAGCAGAAGATCGAGGAGAGCGGCAACATTACGAATACCACCAGGACTGACACTTCAATCCAGAAACAGAACGAGACCCAGAACTCCTCTATCAGCCTTTCAGTATCGAATGGAACATCTGTATCTGGGCTTTCGGCATCTGTTGCCCCTCCTCAATTATCGCCATCTGCTGTGAAGCATATCCGTCGCCAAAAGCGAGAATATTCAGTCGATGTACCATTTGATTTTTTCACAAACCATATGCACTGCGACATGGATCAAGCGGGAACTAATAAGGTTATGAAATTTTTCCCCTTTAATTGCGTTTGGATTGCAAACAATCGCCACCAACACGAGGGCTGGTGGCGCATTTACATGCAAGCATTGATGGAGGCATTCTTCTTTGGACAGTACTACGAGCGCTTGAGGCGCTTCGAGCTCGACCCGCACTCCTTCGACTACACGGGGGTGGGTATGTAGTACTCTATAGTCCCCCATAAAATGGGTGCAAAAATAAAATTATATGTAGATATTTTTCTTTAAAAAAATAATCTCTTAATGGGAGGGGCTGTATTTTGTAGATTTTAAAGGGGAAGGGTTTCCCCCCTTTAATTTCAAATTAAAATTTATTTTACTTATTTACATAAAATATTTTAAATAAATAAACATTTTAAATAGATTTATATTTAAATCAAAATAAAATGTATGTTACTTATGTTTTTTTTATATATTTACTTAATTTTTTTATTTTCAATATTATTTAATTTATAATTTATTAATTTTTTTGTATACATTTTTTATAAATTTATTAAATATTGTTTTATCTATTTTTATTAATTTTTTTTATATTTATTTATTTATAAATTTATTAAATGTGGATTTATTTATTTTTTTGATTATTTATTTATAAATATATTTATATTTAAATCAAAATAAAACTTGTTTTAGTCGAGGTAGTAAGTAAGGTAAATATAATGTTTTTTAATTTTTTATAATTGTTTTTAATGTTAAATATTTGTTTATTAAATTTTATTTTTGTGATTATTTATTTATATTGTTTTCTTATCTTTTTTTATTTTATATTTTGTTTATAAATTATTTAATTTGTATTATTTATTTAATTTTGGTATATACATTTTTTATAATTTTTAAATATTTTTTAAATTTTTTTTTAAATTTTTTAAATATAATATGAATTTATTTTAATTTAAAAACCAATTATTTATTTTAAAAATTTAATTTTTATGCTGCCATTTTTGCTTCTGCTGTTTCTAGTTATTTTTTTTTATATTTTTACGCCTTGAAGAATTGTTGTTCAACTGCCAAATGCCACGCCCAACTAATTACAAACTTCTTATGTCTCCCGCGGAAAACACATTTACTTTAATTAAGTTATTTACCCCGCCCATATCCCCCACCCGCCCAAAAAGACAAATGTTCCAGAGAGTGAGAGAGAGAACCGCCTACCGAAAAAGAAAAGAAATTTACTTTACAACAAAACGGAAGCGGGTCATAGTTTTTATACATCTCTTGACATGACCTCTTCTCTCCTCCTGCCTCTCTCTCTCTCTGTCTTGTTGCATCTCACCCCCCCGGAGGAGGTCGGTCTTTGTCCACTTGGCAGGAAAACAAATTTACGGCATTGCTTTTAGTTGTTCCGTCGTTATTGTTGTTGCACATTTGAAATGTACATAATAATTCACACGCTACTCCCCAGCCACCGCCCTGCCCCCTGCCCCCTCCCCCTTCCCCTCACCCTCTCACACAGTGAAGTGAAGGACAGGGGGTAGGGAGAGGAAAACGACGCACAAATCTACGCCAAAAGTAAAGTCATAAGAAAATGCATAAAACATGGCCCAACATTCGCCGTCAACGTCGCCAACACTTCAGCTGCCTGCCAGGCAAAAAGTTTTCTCATCATCAACCACAAACAAAGGCCAAAACAATGCCAGAAGGAGAGAGAAAGAGAGAGGCACGAAAAAAAAAAAAAACATAAAAAAAACAGAACCCGAATCGGTGGACCAGGCCCAAAAACATAAATTGCTGCAGGACAGCAGCAGCAACAGCGCCAGAGTCGAGCCTAGGCAATGGGCATATCTCCTCGCTGGCCCCGCCCCCACTCTTATGGCCAAGGACCCGGCTAAGCCACAACAACTTTGCAGCAATTAAGCTCGGGGCAAGCTCTGACATTGGCAGCAGGAGTGAGACGGGAGATGGGCGAAGGAGAGCAAATAATTTTTAATTGTGCTGCACAATGCTGTAAAATTAATTCATCTTTTTCACACTCAAATAAATTGCTGTTGACGCGACAACAACAGTAGTAACAGCAGAGGAGCACAAGCAAGAAAACAAGACACGAATTTGATTTGAAGGCGCACAACCGACTGAAAGATACCCTTTAGGTATGAAATTCTATCCAAAATAGAGGCTTATAAAGAATTCGATGCCCGCAATGGTTGCCCTTCACCAAAACACAGCCGAACGTACCCTGGCGATGGCACTCGGTACTCTTCGGTTCTCTGGATCACTGCGGCAGCGCAGTCTGCTTTTTTTTTGCTTCCTTCATTCTACCACTGAAGTAGAACTGCGCCTGAGCCACGAGCAACGCTGCTAGAGAGAGCGAGAGCGAGCGAGCTGCGTTTTTGTTTTTGCTTTGCATTTCTGCCTGCATAAAATGTATTTACCTGCCGACAGATCAGCCGAAAGCTGCGCCTCTTCGGCTTTGGGAGCGATGGACTTGCATGGACTTGCAGGCCAAAACAACAACGAACAAGCTTCGCTTTTGTGTATGCTTTGCATTTCTGCCTGCATAAAATGTATTTATCTGCCGACTGATCAACCGAAAGCTTCGCCTCTTCGGCTTTGGGAGTGATGGACATGCATGGTCTTGCAAGGCAGCGCAGAGTGATATTTGTTTGTATTTGTAGTCGCCGCTCAGTCGATCCATTAAGTATGATGTTTAGGAGAGGAATAGCCTCATAAAGTTTGCTGTTTCTATGAAAACTAGTCGCTCAATGGGTGTTTTCATTATGGACTTGGCAAAAGATTGGTCGCTGAAGCCCTTTTCTGTTACATATTCTATGATAAACACAATACACCCCAACCTAAACCAAGGTATCAAAAGGAACGAGGGAGAGAGGGACAGAGAGTGAGAGTTGGGTGTAGAACAGAGGAAGTGGTTGTCGCCGTCGTTGTCGTCTGCTCAAGAGCGTAAATAATTACATTTTCTTTGTGCTGTTTCCAAAACGTTGCAATTGTTGCTGTGGGGGCGACGGCGAGTCCTGTGCTGCCTAGGGGGGGTGGAGTGCAACTGCAACCTGTCAGTGGCAGCGACAAGAAAGCACTGCAACTGCGTGTCATACATGGGGCAATGTGCAACGAAAAACAGCAATTTCTTTAATATATTTACGCCCAATGCTTGTTGCAACAACGGGTGGAAACACACACACACACACAGAACAAACAATGATGCATACAATTTATATTTAATTATGCGCAAATTAGGCCCCCCCCTTCGCCCCTCCCCAACGCAAAGCAGTGGCAAGTGTTGGCACATGACAAACACTTGCAACTTTTTGTAGTGCTGGTGGTGGTGCCTCGTAGTTCAAATGCGGGTCCGGAATTTACAGTTTGAGTTGGGTTTTTGTTTTTCACTCATTTCGAAATTTTACGCTAATTTTCTTTTCCCTGTTTGTATTGCTGCGGAGTGGCAGTGCCCGCCTGCTGCCTGCAGCATGTTGCATGTTCACAAGTAATTTACTCGTGGAAAAACTTGATGAATATTCGAGTCAAGTGCTCGCCGCTGGCCCAAGCATCTTTCAACGGGTCTGCTATCATAATCTATCCTTACCCTTTAAATTATTCATTTGTGCCTAGTGCTTCAAGGAAATGATTTGCCCTGCAACATGCCACGTGGCGGGATTAGAGGCCCCCAAGGCCAAAACTGCCGTCAGCAGTGCGTATGAGCAATTAATAGTAAAGGAAAAAGGAAATTTAAAGCAGGAATTTTCCAAGAAAAGATGGCATCAATGAACATTTAAGTCGAGTGATGGTAGAAGTCTTACTGGGCGAGAGCTAGGGGTGAAGAGAAAGAGTGTTTGCTAACTGCTAAGCCACACTGGGAGAGAGAACCCCAGAAAAAACTAGCTTTTTCCATCCCAAAAGAAAGAGTCTTGCTGGAAGAGGGCTAGAGATAAAGACAGAAACAATTGCTAACTGCTAAGCCACACTGGGAGAGAGAACCCACAAAAAAGCCAGCTCTTTCCATCCCAAAAGAAAAAGTCCCACTGGTAGAGGTCTAGAGGTGAAAAGCAATAAAGTTCCCAGCTGCTAAGCCACATTGGGAGAGTGTGGCCCTCTCTCCAAAAAGTAAAATCATCCATCAAGAAAATGGTAGAATTTAATTTCCATAAAAATGTCCCTCCCCAGAGCCAAGACTTTAATCGATGGGCGGCCGCAAGAAAATTTGAATATTTCCCCGAAAATGGAAATTCCTTTCAGGCAAGAATCTCTGCCACTGCCACCGCCTGCTGCCTGCTGCTTCAAGAAACTTGTCCATCCAAACTGCACTTGAAGAGTTTTTCGTTCAACAATTTAACTTGTAGAAGAATCTGCTCTGTACAACAGAACTTTGTCAATCGAATAGTTTCGCTCTTAAGAGACACACACCTATACCACCTCTCTGTCTCTGTCTTTGCCACTCTTGCCCCAACAACAACAACAACAACAACAGCAACAGCAACATTCAGGTGCGTTTGCACACTCATTAAACGTCCCCGAAGCCCGCACAATTTATGGCGGCAACGGCAACGGCAACGACGGCAACTGCAAGTTGCATGCCTCCATAATTAACTTGTTGTACTTTGCATCGCATGCACAGAGAGAGGGAGAGACTCCCCCACCATATAGGGGCTGCCCCAAAGGGGCTGCTCGACTATTATTAGGGGGCCCCTGCACCTGCACCCCAGCACCCCTACACCGTTGCACACTGAATTTATGAATGGAAACCGTGTTTAGGGCGGGCTGGTTGTGGGCGTGGGCTGGCCAATGTTATGCAAATACTCATAACAGTACCCGCCCCCCAAAAGAGCTTCGTCGCATGCAGGAGGGCATTTTTAATTTGAGTCCTTCTCGCATTCGTACGAGTATTGTGAGTGCGAATGTGAATGAAATTTTGCCGCGCTTCTGATGACAGACAGAAGGGATTCGGGTTTGGGTTTGGGGTTGGGGTTCTCTGTTCTTCTGATGAGGTCGCTGCATGGCATGTGAATTACTGAATTGGGTGCGCCTCCGCCGTTTATGTCGCGACAACAAAACGCTTCAAATGTCTGTGACCTTTGCAGGGGGTGATGGAGTGCAGCAAAGGGGTCTAAGGAAGGGGCGGGGGGGCCTTTCTGCGTGAAGGCATCAAAGGCTCACAGAGCGTACAACACCTTCTCAGACGACAACGACTCCCTTGAGTATTTTGTTTGGCAAATTATTTGTGTGGCAGCAACAGCAGCAGCA